GGATGTTGAGTCCCAGTTTCAAAACAGCAGGAGAACTGATGTTTAGTGGGGACACAGGTAAAGGTGGAGACCCCTGCTGCGAAATGACAGCAAGCCCCATCTTCCCCATAGTTTGTCTTCTGCGGGAACCCAGAAATTTACATGTTCCATTTGTCTACGGCAAGACACACTTTCTTTGGGGCTGGTCTAGAAAGGCCACTTTATTGTGGACTCTCTTCCCTCCTTGTTGATCCTCTGTTTCTATGCCCTCTTCCCTCCTGTAAAGCCTTCAGGAGTTGGTTTTAGCCAAGTAGCCACGCTGAACCCCCATCACTGCCCACAGTGGCCTTGAGACAGCCACAGGGTGAATCAAAGCTTCCTTGCGCAGCCTGTGTGAGGAGGGCCACACAGAGGGAGGGGGGGATTTGGGAGTGGGTCACCTGCCTGTGGGGTCACATTACCTGCCAGGTATTCGATGACTGCGGCCATGTAGACGGGAGCACCCACGCTGATTCGGTACTTGAACGTCCCTTTCTTCAGGTAACGCATCAGCCTCCCCACCGGGAAGATGACCCCAGCCCTGGCTGAACGTGACAGCTTGGACATTTTCTTCTTCCCGCTCCGGCCCGACATCTTGCCTCAGTTTCCCTCTCAGCTTGCTGACACGGTGGCCTCCTGGCACTAAGTCAGTGCTGGAAAGGAAAGATGGTGGGGTGAGGAAGGGCGACTGGCTGACATCTTGGGAATGGTGGCGCGGCCCTAGAGCCCAGGTGACACACCTGAAGGGCCTGGGGAGGCAGCTGAGACCGGGCTGGCCCTACAGGGTGCTGTGGGTGGGCGGGGAGCTGGGCACCGGCAGGCCGACCCCAAAACAACTCCCCGCCCCATCAAGCTCTCAGTAGGAAAGACCACAAAACTGTCAGGAGAGAAAGAGCTCACAGTCCTGTAGTCAGCCTCCAAAGAGGTCCACTTCATCATCTCCAGAACCTGTGAATCTGTGACTTGCATGGCAAAAGAGACCTTGGAGATGTGATTAAGCAAAGGATCTTAAGATGGGGGTGATGATCCTGGATCATCTGGGTGGGCCTAATGTAATTGCAAGGGTCCTTTTAAGAGGGAGGCTGGAGATGAAAGCAGTGACAGGATGACAGGAGGAAATGGATTCTCCTTGCAGAACCTCCCGAAGGAACCAGCCCTGCTGACACCTTCGTTTTAGCCCATTGAAAGTGACTTTGGACTTCTGACCTCCAGAACTGTAGGAGAAGAAATCTGTATGGCTTTAAGCTACTAAATTTGGGGGTAATTGGTAATAGCAGCAATAAGAAAACTAATATGGTTCCTCTTTGCCCTAATTTGCTTCTGCCTCTTTTAATACACAGTACAAACTTGATATGGACACACCTATCGTCATGGTTAGCTTTGACCAACAACTCAGATTTGATGTACACTTGTCAGTTGGAAACACTTTTCTCAATTCTCCAATAATGTAGCATTCTTAAAAACAGAAACATGCCAGAAGACGCATTTTTATTGAACATGCTAATGCAGAGTAAGCAAGCACAGCAAATTAAAAGCCATAAGGCAACCCAAGCTTTTGCTCCTTGGGTTGAGGAACCCAGGCTGAATTGGGGGAGAAACTTCAGAATTAGCACAAAGAGGTGACTTCAGTGTAATTCACTGAGAGACATGTATACGTCACTATTATTTCAGGAAGCTATCTTTTGTGTGAAGATAAAATAATTATATACTTCTGAAAAAGTCTTTGTAAGCTAAAAGTGATTCAGAGAATTGTAAGAGAGCTTAACCTGTTTTTGGAGGGAGTATTGTCACCAAAAAGGGAATCGAAGCTAGAATAAATAAAAGTAAATTACAAAGGACAGATGAGCAAAGAAAAGGAAACAGAAAAGTTCTAGGAAATATGTTAATGAATTAAAGCTCTCTGGCTCAAGGGCAACATCAGTCCCAGTGGCCATTTTCTTTGGGGGTGGAAAATGAGAAAATCAAAAATTAATTAAAATTGGTTCTATCTGTTGATGCAGCCATCTCAGATTTTGGCTAAGTGAGCTTACCAACAGCCAAGATGGCAAGGAAGAGGCCTAAGAAAATGGGTAGAAATATTATGGGAGAAAATGCTAAATAAACACATGGCTGATAGGAATGATTCAAACCTGGGATTTATTTAGTCTGAATGGAAGAATGAACACAGAGTTTAATTTTCCAAAGCATCCAATTACTCCATATGACTGAGGAGTGTTTTATAAAAGCTAGGGAATTAGCAACAAACCCTATTCTCAACACCCTCTTATCCCTGAGGCGAATGATTCAGGTTGGAGGCATTTTACTACATACTTCACATAAATTATTTTTGGATGCTCATATGTACTTACTACACTCTTATTTTATGTTTCATTTTACCACCAAGAGATGTAGATATTCATCAAAGTTAAGTACAGGCAAAGATGAGCAAATAGCCTAAGAACATGATCCCTTTCACAGCAAGGCATAGGGATAAACCAGTATCACCGTTTTTAGAACTTGCACATTTCTGCGCTTTTGCTGTGAACTCTCATAAATCCATTTACAGCTATTCTCTCTTTGATGAAGCAAGCAGCTGCATATTAGGATTATAACCATCAATTCATGCTGAAAAAACTTAGGTCAGGAGTCAGAAACTGTACAGAATATCCGCTGGTGGTCAGCCCTGTCCCGGGGGACAGGGGACACGTACAGCAGCGTTAAAGGGTCCCTGTTCTCAGGGACAGCTACATGGCACATGTTGGCTAGCTGGTGGTGGTGTTCAGAAGGGAGGTGGCCCCTGGTACAGTGGAAAGAGCTTGGGGCCAGGCAGGAAGCCCTGGGCGTGTTCCCACCTGTAAGGACCAGCTGTGTGAGCGCTGGGTGTCACTTATGTGGGCCTCAGCTGTAAAACAGGGAGGTGACTGATTGAGCCTGAAAATCTCTCTGGTCTTAAACATTCCAACTTTTGGAAATGCACCTTCAATGGTTCTGGAAAAGAAGCTTAATCTCTTTAAGAAGTGAGTTCTAAAGAGGTAAGAGCCTGTGCGGGCGTAGAAAGATATGTCAGTACTGGTGTCGCCACAAAGCCAAGTATGTGCTTTTCTGCAGTTACTGGTAAGTAGGGGGAGGGGAGGATTAGAGGTCTGGTTGCTGAGGAAACCACCTGCAAAGCCCGTCACAGGATGGACACGCTCTGTGGATGCGATGTGCGCTGGATGGTCATCATCTCTCCTGCAGAGAGAAACCCCAGGGAGTACGGACACCGCAAGAGCGAGCCGCCTGGTCCCCCCATCTCCAATACGTTTTTCTCAAATGAAAACAGACAGGGGAAGACCAGGAGTGTAGGATAAAGCCACCCAGGGACTTTCCCAATGTCAGTCGAGCGGAGTTACAAATTGCCCTGAAACTTGGAAATCAGGGCTGGCCCTAGAGGGAAAACAGGGGACTTGAGGGGGTTGATGCCTAACACGTTCATGAAGATAAAACAGCCAAGAAAGGAAAGCCAGGGTTAGAGCAAATGGAAGAAGACGCGCGCTGAATACTGTAAACGGTAATATTCAGGAATCACCCCCAGCACAGCACTTTGTTATAGGACTTTCTTTCTTTTTCTTCCAGACTTGCCTCTAGGTTAGGGCCTTAGAAAGAGCTGTGGATGCAGCGCCATTTGAAGCCTAAGCCTGAGACCGACTGTTTCATGTGCTTTAGTAGAACCGGAGCTTTTTTGGTGCCTGGGGACCCATCTTTTCAGACGTCCTGCTGAGTGCAAGCAGCTGGGTGCCTGACTCCCGGCCCTGAGGACTGGGAGACCCCTGCACATTGGAAGAATCAGACCACCTCCGCGGACCCTTCAGGGCAGCAGAGGAGGCTCACAGGAGCCAACATGTCACACCTGCCGGAACCATGGGTGGGAGGCAGTGCTGTGCCTCCTTGGACCCCTCGAAAGAAGACCCTGCTTCCTAAAGCCCACCTGCCCCCCAGCCCGTGCTGGAATCTGCCTGGAGTGGTGAAAATGGTAACCCCTAACTTCCTTCTTTTCCAGGCCAGCCCTTCCCCTGACTCTATGCAATCTTGGGAAATCAGGAGTTAAACATTTTGAATGGGTTTTACCTACTTTCTGTGATTTTGAATCTTTGCATAGGGCCACTCATCGAAAGAGAAAAGAACTATTGCAATGTGAAAT